TCATCTTAAGTCCTTCGGAGTTGTCTTGTATCATTATACTACTGAGAATAGCTAAGTCATTCACAGCTAATCACCTTACAATATTGCTGTTACTTTGTACAAAGTACATCTCACTTTGCATCAACCCATGTAACTCTTTCCAGGTTTTTCTGAGAGCATACAGCTCATAATTTCTTATAGCACAATAGTATTCCATCACACAATTGCACACATTCCAGCACACATTGCACAATTTGTTCAGCCATTCCCCAATTGATGGGCATCCTTCCAATTTCCAACTCCCTACCACCAGAAAAGAGCTGCTATAAATATTTCCATACATATAGGTCCTTTTCCCTTTTTTTATCTCATCTTGGACACAGACCTAGTAGTGGCACTACTAGGTCAAAGGGTATGCATGGTTTTATAGCCCTTTAGGCATAGTTCCAAATTGCTCTAAATAATAGTTGAATCTGTTCACAACTCCACCAACAGTGCATTAATGTCTCATTTTCTCCACATCTCCTCCATTATTAGCCTCTCTAATAGGTATGAGGTAGTAACTCAGAATTGTTTCAATTTTCATCCCTCCAATCAATAGGGATTGAGAGCATTTTTTATATGTCTATAGATAGCTTTGATTACTTCATCTGAAAACTGTTCATATCTCTAAGTTAACTTCTTTGCCCTCTGGAATATCATATTCCAAACCCTCCAATCCTTTAATGTAGAAGCTGCTAAATCTTGTGTTATCCTTACTGTGGCTCCACAATATTTGAATTGTTTCTTTTTGGCTGTTTGCAATATTCTCTCCTTGACCTGGGAGCTCTGGAATTTGGCCATAATATTCCTGGGAGTTTTCATTTTTGGGATCTCTTCCAAGAGGTGATCAGTGGATTCTTTCCATTCCTATTTTACCCTCTGGTTCTAGAATATCAGAGCAGTTCTCTTGATAATTTCTTGAAAGATGATGTTTAGGCTCTTTTTTTGATCATGGCTTTCAAGTAATCCAATAATTTTTTTTGGCTAGGCAACGGGGTTGTGACTTGCTCAGGGTCACACAGCTAGTAAGTGTCAAGTGTCTCAGGTCGGATTTGAACTCAGGTCCTCCTGACTCCAAGGCCAGTGCTCTATTCACTGCACCATGTACCTGCCCCAATCCAATAATTTTTAAATCATCTATCCTGGATTTATTTTCTAGGTCAGTTGTATTTTCAATGAGACATTTCACTTTGTCTTCTATTTTTTTCATTCTTTTGGTTTTTTTGTTTCTTGATTTCTGATAAAGACATTCACTTTTATTTGCTCAATTTTAATTTTTAAAGAATTATTTTATTCAGTGAGCTTTTGTACCCTCTTTTCCAGTTGGTCAATTCTACATTTTAAGGAGTTGATTTTTTAAAAAAATTTTTCCATTTGGCCAATTCTGCTTTTCAAGGCATTCTTCTCCTCATTGGTTTTTTGTACCTCTTTTACCTTTTGGCCTGTTCTGTTTTTTAAGGTGTTATTTTCTTCAGTATTTTTTTGTGTTTCCTTTACCAAGTTGTTGACTCTTTTTTCAGGATTTTCTTGCATCACTCTCATTTCTCTTTCCTTTCTTCTACCTCTCTTACTTGATTTTCAAAATCCTTTTTAAGCTTTTCCATGGCCTGAGACCAATTCATATTTTCACTGGAGGCTTTGGATGTTGGAGCTTTGACTTTGTTATTTTCTTCTGAGTATGTGTTTTGATCTTCCTTGTCACTATAGTAACTTTCTATGGTCAGAATTTTTTTCTGTTGTTTACTCATTTCCCCAGCCTATTTCTTGACTTTTAACTCTATGTTGAAGTAAGGCTCTACTTCCAGAGTGGAGAGGGCACTTCCCCAAGCTTCAGGGGTTTTTTGCAGCTCTTTTCAAAGATACTTCTAGGGACCTTTAAGTTTTCAGTTCTTCTAAGGTCATATGATCTAAGGAGAGTTGTTTACTCCTCTCCTGGCTTGTGCTCTGGTCTGTGAGTGACCACAAGCACTCTTTTCTGCCCTGAAACTGTAATGAGGGTCTCTGCTGCTGTGGCCACAAGCACTGGTGGGCTAGTGTTCCTCCTTGCCCTGAGACTGCCACCCAAGACTGTGACCCAGATAGGAGTATGGGCAAAGCAGCAGAGTCCTGCTTCAGTGCTAGCAAAGAGACCCCTGTGATTTCCTTCTGACCAGTTTTTCAACCACCTTACCATCTGTGGGCTAAAATCTCCTGATGCAGCCGCTGCCTCTGCCACTGCCATTGCTGCTTCAGGGGCTCCCAAAGCCTGCTTCTGGTTTGCTGGGGCTGGGTCTGCACTGGTGCACTGGCATTATTGAAAGGTGTTTGGAGAGGTTTGGAGGAGAGGAACTCAGGAGAGTTCCTGCCTTTTCTCCTCCATCTTAGCTCCGCCTCCTACTCTGGGCATTTTCTCTGGCTGTTTCCTCTGCCTGGAATGCACTCCCTCCTCATCTCTGCCTCTTAGCTTCCCTGGCTGCCTTGAAATCTCACCTAAAGTCCCACCTTCTGCAAGATGATTTTCCCAGTCTTTAATCTTAGCGCTTTCCCTCTGAGATTACCTGAGATTTATTTTATTTGCACTTAGTGTTTTGCATGTTGTCTCCCCCATTAGACTGTGAGCTCCTTGACAGAAGGGATTTTTTTTTTTTTGCCTTTCTTCATATCCCTAGCACTTATCACAGCAGGAGGCATTTAATAAATACTTGTTGACTAACTGGGGCATCTAAGTGGCACAGTGGATAGAGTGCCAGGCCTAAAGTCAGTAAGACTCATCTTCCTGGGTTCAAATCTGTCCTCAGACACTTACTAGCTGTGTGACCCTAAGCAAGTCACCTAACCCTCTTTGCCTCAGTTTCCTCATCTGTAAAATGAACTGAAGAAGGAAATGGCAAGCCATTTCAGCATCTTTACCAAGAAGAGTCATGAAGAATCAGACATGACTGAAAAACAAGTTGACTGACTGACATTGACTGATTAACCAGGTCTAGCTTTCCTTATCAGCATGCCTTTTCACATTTCAAAAGATAAAAGTCAGATTTCCTCTTCTCCTCTCACTTCCCTTAATCAGACACACCAAAAAAAACCTGACCAGACTGTGAGTCTCTAGTGGTCCATACAACAGAATATAAATTCCTTGACAGCAGGGACTTGGTTGTCTTTGGGTCTCATGACTGAGCACAATGAACCCAGTAGATGCTTAATGAATGCTTGTTGAGTTAAGATCATAGGATCATAGGTCTGGAGCTAGAAGGGACCTTGGAAAACAGCTAGTCCAACCTTATCATTTTACAGACAAGGAAAATGAGGCCCATAAATGTTAAGTGGCTTGCCCAAGGTCATACAGTTAGTATCAGAAGTAGAATTGAATTCTAGCTGTGTGACCCTGGGCAAGTCACTTAACCCCGATTGCCTCACCAAAAAAAAAAGCAAAAAAAAAGTAGAATTGAGTTGAATTATGTTGTTGTGTATGTCTTACATATATGCATGTG